CTGCCAACTTGTTGTAAACATTTACACTACATCTCTGAATTGCCTTGTTACATTACCTTGATATTCCATTTTAATTATGGAGGGAAGGAAACTAGTATTTAGTATTTGGCATCTGAAGAAGTGAGGTTCTTACCCACGAAAGCTTATGCTCCCAATACTTCTGTTAGTCTTAAAGGTGCCACAGGACCCTCTGTTGCTTTTTAGTATTTTCCCGATTTACAGTTTCAGTTATTAGCTAATCATTTTTAACAAAAAATGACAGAAACAGGCAGGAGTCTCATCCTCAGCCAGTGTAAATTGTTTTAGTTTCCTGAACTTCAGTGGATCGACAGCAATTTACACCAATAGAGGAACTCTCCTTAGATCACTAAATACAAGTACAACTTCTACAATAGCTTCTTGAAAGCACACAATACAACCCGCCTAGACAAGGCACTCCAGGCCAGGCCCATGAGTTCTTATGGCCGCAATCCTGCAAAGTCTTACATCCAAGTTAACTTCATTGCGACTACCCAAAGTGCATAAACTGAAGCACTTGCGTAAGACTTTGCAAACTCTGGGTTTAAGAATGTAATCTGCATAAGTGAGCAAAACAAGTCTATTCTCAGACCCCACTGCAGGAAACTCTGTTCTACATAAAAAGACATTTTAAAAATAAGGAAAGAATGGCATTTGAGATAAGAGTTTTCATTCAGTTTATTTTAAAAGTTACATTATTACACACTAATGACATTTATGACATTTTAAAGAGTTAACAAACAATGTGTGACTTCCACTGACCTGAAAAGTTCACTTCGCCAATGGAAAACATTCCCTAGCAAGCAGGGCTAATCTATCAATTTCTGTGGGATCTATATTAGAAAAAATGCTATTCTAACCCTTATGCTCAAAGAAAAACTTTCTGCTATGACTATACAGTACTGTATTTCTGAGTCTTCAGAAAGACTTAGTGCCTTTAATCCCTCTCAGCTTTCCCAAGCATCCCTAACAGTGAAATTATCAAAACTCTGGTAAGTTTCATGATTACTATTTAGAAACCCCTGAGCCACAGGAAAATTGCCAAGAATCATATTAGTTTTACTCTAATGATGCTTGTGAAAGCTACCAGAAGATGCAGCAATTAAGTTATTCATGGGCAACGACCACACAAAAAGCTTGAGAAAAATGTAAACCAGTGATGATGACCAACTGGAGCAGCTAAGAGGCTTGGGGCGTGGGGAGAGAAAGCTCCTTGCTCCTTTTCAGCAGCCCAGCTGATGTGAAAGGAGAGGGAGGAGAGACAGTCGGTTCAAATTTATCTGCTAGCCAGGCTGATATGCCAGATGGAGCAGAGTCCATGAACAACACCTAGGCAGAAATCCCAGAGCCCTACCAGCAGCAGGGGAGATGGGAGACCTGGACTTCTCACCTACATTCCATCTAGAACTTGCTGGTAGGCTCCTGCATCTCATTTTTCATATCAGTCTCTAGTGTATAGCCCTTTGGCTAATAAATATCTTGTAAATTTTTCAAGCACTGTCCTTTCTATATGGCAGGGGTCAGCAACGTTCAGCACGCGGCTCACCAGGGTAAGCACCCTAGCGGGCTGGGTCAGTTTATTTACCTGCTGACACGGCAGGTTCGGCCGATCGCGGCCCCCACTGGCCGCGATTCGCCATCCCAGTCCAATGGGGGCGGCGGGAAGCCGCGGCCAGCACATCCCTCGGGCTGGGCCGCTTCCCCCCGCCCCCCCTTGCCTGGGATGGCGAATC